GCCTGGCTCCCTTAAGGCCTCATGTGGATCCTTTTGTGATTTTTTTGGCTTCACAACCTTTCCCATGTGCCCTCAGGAAAATGTCTCATCCTCAACTTATCTGCAGATCCCTTTCCCCTTGATCTAAGTGAAGCGTGACCCACGTGGGAGGACATGCCTTTCCCAGAATGTCTTCTGAGCGGGAGGCTGTTGCTGCCGGCAGCCAGTGTGCCGCTGGGCCTGAGGCATGGCAGGTGTGCTGCTCGCTGTCCTGGCTGCTCTCATACTGTCTCCTGCAGAGCCCCCCAACTTTTCAGGTCCTGGCAGCAGAGTGGACCCCACACACAGTCTCTTCTGCTGGTGAGAGGCCTGTGGACCACTCACCTCATTTCTGGAAGAAATTTAGCTCTAGTGCGCTGTTAAGTCTGCATTTCTTCTGTCTTAAACCTTAGTCATTTCAGTGTTTGCATGGGTAACCCTTTCAGTGTGCTGCTGGCCTTTTTTTCCTGGATTTTCCTTCAGTGAGCTTGACCCTCCCTCTGCCCACATGTTGCTGTGTGCTGCCTGGGCCTCATTAACTGTGGCTGCATTCCCTCCTGTCTGCACACCAGGAGTCTCATCTGGCTGCCTGTGTTCTCTCTCTGGGTCCCCTCCTGCAACCAGCCTTCCACCGCACCAGGTACCTGTCCACCAGGTACCTTCCGGCATCCCCGGGCCACACCAGAAGAAGAAGAGTTGCCTTGGGCCACACATTAGATACACAAACACTAACAAAAACCGATGGGCAGAAAAAATGGTTTTAAGTAAATTTACGATTTTGTGTTGGGCTGCATGTGGCCTGCCAGCCCGTGTGCTGTGGGTCAGACACCTGAGAAGAGCCCACGATCCCTCCACTTCCTTGTTCTGTCCCCCTCGTTGCTCTCCTTTACATTTCCCTTCCCAATCTGGTGTGGATCTGTGCTCTTTGTCTTAAGAATGGTCTTTACATTTTTCAGTGCTTGAGGAAAATAAAGTTTGTGACATGTGGAAGTGGCATGAACTTAAGTGTTCGTGGAAGTCCGTGTCCGTCCAATGAAGAGTTTCATCAGGACAGGACTTTCGCCAGGTGCTGCCTGAGGCTGCTTTTGTGTCACAGCCGCGGGGGCGAGGGGTCGAAGCCTAGTTTCTGAGCTGCCTTTCTGCCAGCCCTGCAGAATGGAGCGGCTCGGGCTTCAGGGCCAGCTGGATTGTCCTGGATGTGACAGAAGAGGGGAAGGGATGTAACCGAGGAGAGTTTTGAGGGCTGCAAAGACGAATTTCAGTATGTTGCCGTAGGCTGTTTCTGGCAGGAGATAGAAATGCTTTCTGTTTTTTCTCCATCAGCCCATCAGTCAGGTCAGTAGGCAGGGCTTACGGTTTTAAATAACAACCAGTGATTGTTACTTTAATCTCTGAACTTGTGTGTATTTTAATAGTTCTTCGTAGTAACAGTGGTTAAACTACTGTAAACCACACATGCCAGTTTTTAATTAAATCTACGGTATTAGAATAAATCTTTTAACAAGTAGGAAAGTCTTGGCCGTGGCCTCCCAGGGACTAGCACTTGGCTCCCCTTTCAGCAGGAGGTCCCGGCTGATGGATTCCCTGTGCGCGTGCACACACAGTATGTCAGGCCTCTCTGACCTGCTGCACGTGGTCACGGGCAGTTTTCTATAATTTCACTCAAACAGGACTTGCCAAGATCAAACCTACAGATGTGTTCGAACTTGAAGGAGATGAAATTCTACCTTTTGTGTAATTCAAAGGCTTTTTTAAAGCCTTTTTTTGTGTGTGTAATGTAACATTTCATTTATATGTTGTCTTCAGGGTACGCATTCCTATCTAACAGGAATGTCTAACGGTTGAATTTTAATTGTCCTCTTAAGTACTTTCTGCCTCCTGTGAATGAAGTAGCTAAGCTTTTTCAAGTCCTTGTGAATATTTTGTGTTAGTTTGGTTAAAGCAGAAGTGACAGCAACTTTTATTATTAATAACATTTGTAATATAGGAACAATTGACTGATCTTTACTAGCTATTTCACTCTCGTTAATCATTATACATATTTAGCTGTGCTGTCTTGACAGGGAACTTAGAATTTGTAGATAGAGCACGTTACGACTGCTTTGGATCTAGAATGCCAAAAAGGCTTTCTTTCAAGGCTATTTAGAAGGTAAAGAAGTATGGAAGAGAGTTAAGTTCTTTCATAGTATTTACTGCTAGTGAGTAAAAGGTTTTTTGTCTTCCTGATGAAAGTTGTTAATATATTGTATAAACATATGGTAAATAAATATACAGCTATTTATTGTATGGCTCTAGAGGAAAAGGTTTTCCTCCAACTCTTTTTAGAGGGATAAACACATCTAAGAAATAGTTTCTGCTCTCAAGAAATTTAAAATACAGTTAATCAGCCCACGACCCCCGCCCCACTTTAAACGTAGCCGTTTAGTGTGTAGCGGAGAGAAGTTAGATATCTGTTAAATGTCAGTCAGAAGACATCTGCATCTCAACGTAGGACGTTTTCATGGTTTTGAGCCCAGGATATGTGAACGTCTTAATGGCAGTGGGAGAGTTGAGCTGATGCCCCAGCAGTTCCCTTGTCCAGGTGCTGCCATAAGGCGGTTCGCTGCTCATGTCTGCCAGGCGCCTGGCTCAGAGCGAGGCTCCGGCGATGTTCAGGCCACATCACAAGCTGTGAAACCTTCCAGTGCCACTCTTGAGTGTGCCAGTAGTCTCATGGCTGTGTTCAACTTGAACTGAACAAGTGTAATTAGTGAGTGGATGCTAGTTTTGCATAACACCTAGAGATAAAAGAAAAGAATGAGATAGTTTCTATTTTGAGGGGATTCTTGGCTAGCTGGGGAGGCAGACCAAAAGGAATGTAGTCTGGTGTGGGGAAGCATTATTTCAGTCTCCTGGACTGAGTGCCGGTGGAGCGTGTATGGGAACTGGTTCCCCGGGAGCCGTGGGGGGTTTTCCCCGGGGCCAAGAGTGAGGAGACTTGAGATTCTTCCAGGCGAGAACTGGATGGGGAGACGTGTGTGGAAAAGGCATTTTAGTGGCGGTGTCCGTCTGAGCAGACACAGGGTGGCAGGTGCTTGGTGTGTTCAGGAACCCATGGTGTGCAGCCTGGGGAGAGCAGAGGACAGTGATCATAATCCCAATTTCTTTTCTTTTTAAAATGACTTAATTTATTTATTTTTAGAGAGAGGGGAAAGGAGGGAGAGAAACAGCAGTGTGAGAGAGAAACAAGGACCAGTTGCTTCCTGCACATGCCCTGGCTGGGGACTGAAGGCATTCTTTGAAAGGTTTTAAACTCTTGGGCATTTTCTTAGCATGTTAGTGTCTGCACCGTATTTAGTATCCTTACAGCTTTCTTGAGAATGTGCATGTGTGTTCTTTTATGGCATATTGTCACTAAAAATGGCTTGCATACTTAACTTTTATATAGTTATTGAGCTTTTCCTTTTTATTTTTTGTCAATCTCTGTGACATTGAGTCAAAGCTTCAGGATCCACAGGGAGGGAGGTATCAGCAAATTATTTTATGCGTGCTTTCTCAATTTTTAATTGACTAATTTATACTCTGCCTCTTTCTTAAAACAAATTTGAAGCACCTGAAAAAATAAATACAGTTAAATAAAAGATAAGGGAGGGAGATCGGAGAGAAGGGAAAGCCGGGTGGGAAGAAGAAGGTTGGTGCTCATAGTCACTCGGTGGGACCTACAAGTGGGAAAGAGGGGCTCGGGGTTTGGCTGTGGCCGTGGCCAGGCCCAGATGGAGACCGTCAGTGTGATACAAGGTGGTTCCCCAGAAGCTACAGATGCACCACGTGGAGCACAAGTGCTCCTGGTCCTGAAGCTCAAGGAGGGAAGTGTCTCTTTCAGGAAGGAGAGGAGGGACAGGCAGGGTCTTCCCAGCATTTGAGCAAACCCCCAGCGCCTTAGGCGTCTCCCCATCGGTAGTTCTGTGTAAGCGTGCAGCTCCCTGATGCTCCGGCTTAATCCAGGGTGACAGGTGGGGTGTTGTGATCACGGGTGAGAGCAAAAGCAGAAGATTCGTCTGGACAGAATTAATCTGGGAGAATCTCTCACATTTCCCCACACAGCACTATTTCTTCTAACTTTGGAACGTGGCTGCTTCTCTGGGGAGTAATGGAATGAGGAAGCTGGCCTGCATTAGGTGCACTGTGGCACAGAAAATTCGGCCTTCATAGCTTTGGAATGACAGTCAGCTCGGGCCCCGCTCCTGGCATGAGAGGCATGTGGGGACAGCGATGCCTGGGGCCTGGCCACAGGCCGCTTCTCCCCCCCCCCCCCCGTGCACAGTCTCCACTGAGGAGTGCTTTCTCTCCCTCCCCCATCCATGTAGTCAAGTGAGTATGCATGTGTGTGCACACGTGAGTTCATATGCACACACAGGCGCACACACACCCACTCTCACTCCGAGCAGGTGTTGCCAGCTTCTGTGTATCTAGAGAATGGATGGGTCACTTGCCTTCCAAGAGTCAGTCCTTCCTAAGTACCATTTCTCGTGCCTGTACTTTAGGTACATGTAGGGTGACGGGGCTCTGCTGCATGCTCTGTCTGGAGCGTGAAGTGTAGCTGTCCCGTTTGGATTAAGGGCAGATCAAGAAGCACAGACAGCCCTGCCAGTGGGTCCCGGGCTGGCCTGGGAGTAGAGGTAGAGAGGCCCCAGTGCTGCAGCTGGGCTGGCTCTGCCGGTGCTTGCCCGTGGACGTGGAGAGTTGCCAAAACCCCTCCACTCCAGTTGCCTGATCTGTACAATGGGCAGGACAGTTTTCTGGCTCAGTGCAAAGGCTGAATAACACCACAGGGAAAGGACAAGGACAGTACCTGGCTCTTTTATTTTGTGTTGTCAGTCAGGGAGCTGGCCCGGACAGGCTTGGCCCACAGCCTCCCAGGAGTAAGTGCAGGCCGTGTTCTGGACAGGATGTTGGGAAATGAGATGATTTTTCTGGTTTGTGACAGTTTTGTCTTTTTTCAGAGAAACTGCGCCCAGGACTATCTTCCAGAGAGTCCTGGGTATCTTAAAGAAATCCTCTCATGCCGTCGAGCTGGCCTGCAGGGACCCGTCCCAGGTGGAGCATCTGGCTTCCAGTCTGCAGCTGATAACGGAATGCTTCCGGTGTCTCCGCAATGCTTGCATAGAGTGTCCTGGGAACCAGAACTCCATCAGGTAGTGCTCTCTGTTGTCACCTGTGTGCGTGCTGGTTCTGTCCCGCTGGTCCGTCTGTGAGATGTTGTCTGGGCCCTGCGTGTCACCTGGGAGCAGTGCTCAGAGTGCAGGTGGTATAATGTGTGACGGGACTGGCCTGCTCCGGACCTCTTAGTTGTGTTTTTTTTTTGTTTCAGTGTTTTAATGCGTGACCCCTGTGTTTACTTTAACCAGGGAGCACAGTTGGTACGCATCTGAGATGACCTGTCTTAAGAGATCCTTAAAAGGATGCGAAATTGCCTTCTCCATTTCTACCCACTTCACAATGTGGTTAAAAGCTGAGCAAGGGAACTGCTCCACGCTGTGCGTGTCCTTTTACATCTTACTCTCCCCTCCCAGAACGGAGCACCTTCCCTCTTTGATTTTATGGAATCTGCTTGTTATTAGACATTTTCACCTGTGATGAAGCCAGAAACCACAGAGAGTGTACTTGCCTTTCTTTCCTGAGCTCGATGCAGACGAGCCTCCAGGCCTCCCTGTCACTGCCATGACGGGTGAAGTCGGCTGCTGCAGAAGCCACTTCAGGGACGCCCTGTGCTGCCTAGACAGTTCTGATACCTGAGGCTTCGATGTGATTAATGGGATTTTTAAGATGAAAGGAGAGAGGGGAAAAGCTAGGATTGTTTAACTTCAACTCTAAACTAAACTGCCATCCATTTGCAGATAAATGGATAGAAACAATTATAATCTTGGTTATAATAGTCAACATTTTAAAAACGTAGCGAGTGGTGCTGGAAGAGTGGGCCAGAGGCAGGTGTCTTTTGTCCCTTCCTAGGCGGGGAGGGGCAGCGCCTTAGAGCAGAAACGCCAAGGGCTGGCGGGCCTTCTGAGTGCTCTGCGGCCTGCCTGCAACCCGAGAGCCCGCCCTAAGCCCAGGCTGGGAAACCCAAGGGCTTGACTTGCAGTGTCTTGTGTAATCCTGAGCACAGATTCGAGAAAAAGCTGCTGCTGTTTTTCCGTTTTCACCAAAGGAGAGCTGCCAGTCAGGGAGGCCGAAGGACTCGTCCTCCAGCCCTTCAGTAAGAGCCAGGGACACCCTCTGTGACTCTGGTGGTAGCTCAGCTCAGCAGCAGGCGCCATCACTGTCGTGAGACACTCTGCCCCTGTGCTGTGTGACGGCACCATCCTGGACAGGGCCTTGGCCTCTCTGAGTGCCTCTCCTCCTCTGTCGGACAGGTCAGCCGTGTCGTCTACCAGGGGTGTGGTGAGTGTCGAGCGAGTTTACCTCCGTGAAATGCCCGGTGGCGCCCGTGCCCACGGCTCAGTTGTGCTCATGTGTCTGTACCGCAAACAAGTGCTCAGGACACTGCTCTCCTGGGAAGCAGTCTTTGTATTCCTTTGTGAGTGCAGAAGTGAGGTGTGTGAACTACGAAAGCCCCGGCACTACAGAATTAGGCGCCCCGGCAGTGGTCTCCTAGCAGGCTGTGCTCGGGCGGCCATGGAGTCTGGGCTGCATGCAACTACGGTCGGGGCGGAGGGAAGGTCAGCGTAAGTCGTGTTGGTTTTCCTGCCTCTTACGTTCCACATTATATTTATTCAGTGTTAGTTTTAAAGGGAAATTCCAACCATTTGGGGCATTAGCTCTCAGAAAAAAACATTTTCTAGTCAGAACTACAACAGAGATTCTGTAAGGGCTTCAAGGCCAACCATAACTGAAGCCCGTATTTCTGACCTGTCAAGTTCAGGTCACAACCAGAGTATATTTCCCTGGGTTTTAAGTTATTAAAGGCTTTGTCAGAGTGTAACGCTGCTGAGGCTCAGACCTTTCTCATCGCCTGTGTGAACACTGCACTTCGTGTGGTCTATGCTCGTATCTCGCCAGGAAGTGCGGAGTGGGGTCCGCCACAGCAGAGCAGGTGGTCCGCGTCCTGTGACTCAGAGAACGCTGTCGGAGGCAGCGAGCTCCGCTTGGGAGCGTGGCCCCCGTTGCAGGGGTCGCTGTAGTGTTTCTGTAACGGGCCACGTCATAAACACTTCAGGCGCTGTGACCTCCGTCAGAGTGTTTCGGCTCCCCCCTTGCAGCGTGAGAGCAGCTGTCGATGGCACATGACGCGTGGGCATGGCTGCTTTTCACGACCTGCGAAACTAGAAAACAAGCTGTGACTCTAAAATGCAGCAGTATTTTAGAAAGGCGTAGGGGGACAGTTTTAGATATCCCCTTTAGAAACGAGGGAAAAGATGTCGCTGGTTCTGAGCAGTCTCAAAATCCCATTGGGCAAACTTAGGTCTCAGGGCCCGGCAGTGAGCCTCTGTGGCTGGAGGCCCCACCGTCGGCCCTGCCCTTCCTCCCTCTGCACCCCCCCCCCCCCCCTGAGTCGGGGAGAGCTCTGCGTCCTTTTGGCAGCCTAGTTCCCACCTGTAGAATTCTGGGAGTCTGACCACCTTCTTTCATTTCATCCTTCCTCTGTGCATTCTGTTCAAGCCGGCGGAGTTTGGACCGGTGGAACATTCTCGGAATCCCTGTGGGTCTCATGTGGATGTCATGGGGGTTGAGAGGGTCCACCAGAGAGCTTTCCTGGTGGGTAGCGCCATCTCTACTCCTGGTATGTGCTGAGATGACCAAGGGGATGGGCACGCTGACCTCCTCATCCTGCAGCCTCTGGCGCGGGGTTGGCCGGCCACGGCTACAGCTCTCTCCCCAGAGCACCTTTTCCTGGCAGTTGCCTGGTTTCGGCAGCTTTTGCATTCTGGGTAAGCTGAGAGTTTCAGAAATCATGGAGACCCGGTTCCCTCTTTGTTCCTTTATTTATCTCTCCCTGTCTCATTTTAAGTAGCAAGAAGAAATCAGGCCTTCAGCTAGTTGCTTAGAAATCTGTCCAGCTAAAGCAGCCAGGTTTGTAGTGTGTGTGTTTGGCTTCCACACACAGTTCAGCTGGGCTTTGACCGCTGTGTAAAAAATATGGCCTCCCTCTGTTTTCAGTAACATGTTCTTCCTCTTCGTGGCTGAGTCCTCACCTGCAGGGCCTTCCGTGCCCACATTTCCACCAGGTTTGTTCAGGGCGATGTGAGCTTTCCTGTCACGTGCCTCAGAGCGCTCCCAGCCTCTGACTGCTGTTCAGTTTCAAAGCCTCTCCTACCTTTTCTGTGTTTGGTACAGCGGCACCTGCTTCTGCTGCCCAAATTGTATGTTTCCTGTGGCTGCCATGACAGATCACCAAAAGCAGCTTAACACAACACACACACAGTTCTGGAACTCGAGTTCAAATGGGTCCATGCGGAGCAGGCCGCCAGTGTTCCTCGGCTCATGCCCCCCCCCCCCAACTGGGACCCTCCGTCTTCCTCTTACAAGGACCCCGAGACTCCACTGGCCCCACCTGATACCTCAGGACGCTCTTCCTTTCTCGGCATCCTTAATATTCCCCTGACTGTGAACTTCCCTTTGCCCTGGGAGGTCACATAATCACAGACTTGGGAAGCCCAGAGGAGCCCCCTGGAGGACCTTGTCCTGCCGGCCACAGGAACTGTCACCAGCGGGCTCTGTGCCGCTTTTGTACCATTTGATGTTCAGGCTTAGGAAGGTGTCTGACTTTGTCTCTCTTTACAATGTGGTACAGGAGCTTGGATACGGTTGGCGTAGCTGTGGATTTGATTCTTCTTTTTCGGGAACTGCGAGTGGAACCAGAGGCACTGCTGACAGGTAACTTGCAGCAAGATTGATTCATGAGTCATTTGTACCTTTGAAAAGGGTTTGAACACCAGTCTCTGAGTATTACATCATTCATTAAAGCCAGTGTTCTGTGCTGATGCAGAGAAATGTTATTAGTGATATTAAAGAGATATCATAAGAAAAGTTGTAGCAAATTGCTTTCTTACCTGTATTGTGGGCTAAGTTGTGTTCCCCAAAATCCATGTTGAAGTCCTAACTCCTGGTCTCCCAGGATGTGGCTGTACTTGGAGACAGAACCTCTAACCAGGTAATCAAGGTAAAATGAGGTTGTATGTGTGGCCCTAGTTCAGTGTGACTGGTGTCCTTGTAAGAAGAGGACATCAGGGCACAGACATACACAGGGAGGACTACATGAGGACACAGGAAGAAAATGGCCATGCATACTCGGAGGAGTGGCCCAGCCCTGCCCACACCTGCCCCTCCTGTCCTGGTGCTTTGTAGCGCAGCCCAAGCCAGTGGCACAGGGCAGGTCCTGAGGGAGGTACTGGGGTGGTGGGACAGTGACTGCAGGGCACAAAAATCCCTGCCCTCAGGGTGCCGACGTTCTGTGGAGGGGAGCCAGACGCTAGCGATGCCAAAGAAGGAAGTCTGGAGTGCTACCGCTGGGGCGGGAGGTCAGCTCTGGCTGTTGGGGGCTGTCTTGGGGGCCAGGGGGGGCCGCGCTGCTCCTTCCGAGGGCCGGAGGCTCTCCGAGACTTGTTTGGGTGTTTCTGGTTCTTGAACTGTTTGCATCGATATTTCCCCTTTGACTCGGGTTACTATCTTCACATCATATTTTAAAAACATAGAATTTTAATATATGATATCTTTATCCAAAGAACTGAAATATTTTATGGGTAAACTTAAGCCATTTTAGTAAGAAAATCTCAGTGTAAATATCTGGCTTATAAGCAGATGTAGTTAAAAATTCGTTTTAGTAAAGAAAGTATAACATAATTCAACAAATACTTCTTAAGTGAGCCATCTCCAGCTATATTTAAAATGATTTGAGTAATAAATTGACTTAATCAGTATATGCAGTTCTTAATGCTCATGCTTATGCAAAGTGAGGCGTACTTGCCTTCATGGCAACGTGCAGGCTGCCGCGTCACCCTTCGCAGGCCCAGAAGCCGCGGCGCAGGGTGAACCGGGCGAAATCTGGGCGTAGAGGGCTGCCCGGCTCGGTTTAATTCTTGTTCTATTCTGTGATGTCTTAGTGTTTTTATTTAAAGGTCATTTGTTAAAATTCCTACATCTTTTTATATGATTTAGAATTCTTCCTTTGGGAAATTGTAATTATTTTTGAATTAAGTTATCTAAAAATTTACAAAGTGTTTGCTTTTGGTTTTTTAAAACAGCAATAAGTTCAAATATTCTCAAGAACTTGATAGGATGTAGGGTTAGTCGTAAAGTGTTTTAAAGATCTTATAAAGTTATTTTTGTTAACTCCATTTTGTAATAAAACGGAAGCCTCGGTGCTCAACTTGGGGAATTAAAAATCAGCCGTAAAAGACACATTTCACTGTCTTGCATGGACAGGCAGCTATTTTTGAAGTCTGTGTGTGGCATGGTGATTCAGAAAGAGTGCAGGATGTCCTGCGTTCTGTAATTGCTGACAAACGCTCGTGTGGTGGATGTGTGTCCCTGGCAGCCCGACGGAGCCGTGGTGGGCAGTGGGTTTCTCCCGTGATGATGGGCCCGGAATAAGACGCCGGAGGAAGTGCCCTGCGAGCGAACGCTGTGATTAAATAGCCATCAGCCGGACTGGGCGCTCCACTCATGCACGCAGACACTTGTCCCCTGAAATTGTCCCCTTTCTCTCAGCCTCATCAGCTCTCCCCTCTTTTTCTCCCCTTCATCAAAGTACAACATGCTCTCCTTTTCTGCATCTGCAAAAATCTTCCCCGACTCCACATGCTCCTCTGTCCATTTTCTCTGTGCTCTGCTCTTTCCCACGTTTTGTTGACACCAGATCCATAGAAGATAAAATGAGCCACCTTATACTGGGGCATCTAATGCATTCGCAGGGTTGTACACCCACCACCTCTAATAGCATATATTTTTGTGTCCCCAAGTGGGGACCCTGTGCCCCCGACCAGCTGTGTTCCAGTTGCCCGGAGCTTGGCAGCCACCATTCTGCATTTCGTCTTTGTGGATTTCCCCCTTCTGGATATTTCTTGTGTATGGAGTCATAGAATTACAAGATCGTTTGTGTCTGGCTTTTTTCCCTTAGCATAATGTTTTTTGAGGTTCATTCATGTTATAGCATGGATCAGCACTTTATTTTTAATGCCTGAAAAATACTCCATTAACTGCTTACACCACGTTTCCTTTACCCAGTTGTTTGGTGAGTCGTTCCCACCATCTGGCTACTGTGCCGCCTGTAAGCACACTCGCGTGCCTGCACTTGTCCGAGTGCCTGTCCTCAGTTCTGCTGGGTGTATCCCTGAGAGTGGAATTGCTGGGTCACTTTGATACACTTTTAAGAAATCGTCACACTTTTCCACAGCAGCTAAACCGCTTTACGTTTTCATTCACACTGTAGAAGGTTCCAGTCTCTCCACATCCTGGCTGAAATTGACCTCCCTTTATTTAGGTTATAATCATCCTGGTGGATGTGAAGATGTAGAAAGCTGCAGGTCTTCGGAGGTTCCCTAGTGATTAATGATGCAGAGTGTGTCCTGTGCTTATTGGCCACTTGTGAGTCCTCTTTGCGGCAATAGCCACTCAAGTCCTCTGTGCACTTTCTAGTTGGGCTCTTTGTCTTCCCAAAGAAGACAAAGGGTTATACTTCTGTCTACTCAAATTGTAAGAGTTACTTTTATATTGTGGATACTAGGAATTATGCGGAATTTATAGATGTTGGGGGGAGAGTTGCCACGTTGTTGGTCCTGTGTCTCCCAGTGTGTGTGTATTTAGATCTTTAACACTCTAGTTGTATCGCTTTCAAGCAGAGAACCTGTGTTTGGAAGCAGAGCTGGGAGGCTTCCTGAGGCAAGAAGGAGAACAGGTTGAGTTTTCTCACCGCCTTCTTGAAAAAGGCAGCTAATGATATTACTGGATTTTCTTTGGAATTCAATAAAATTTGGATTCAACAATGAAACTTAAAAACTATTTGTGGTGTGTTAGTTCGAACCTAATACAAGTCTTTTAGAAGGTCCTCTGGTTCCTAGTGAGGTGCCGTTCTGCTCTCTGACCGCCTCTGTGAGAACCTCGTCTCAGTGGAGTTTTGGCAGCTATGTGTGCCAGTTCTTTGTTAACCACTTTTGAGGGAAGAACTATAATTACATTGTCAAAATAATATTTAGAGTATTATTTTCAGAGAATAATTACAGTGGTGTGACGAATATATTATGCTCATCAAATTTTATGTAAACACAAGCATGAGTTATTTTAATTGAGCTATTGGTGTTGTTTTTGGCCTTTACTCTTTTCTAATCTGTAAAAATAATGTTGGGATTTCTGAGGGGTTTTGTAACATTTGCAGTATTTATGTAAAGATCATCGGATAAGCTGTTTGGTAAAAGCAAACTGCCATCTGTACCTTTCCGGCGTTTTCCTTTCTCATTTCTGGGACGTCTCTGACCCTTTTCCCCCACGGGACGCGCTCTGGTGCTGGGTGCGTGCACTCAGTTGCCCGTTGAGCCGTTGGGCCGGCCGTGCCCAGGCCGGGACATGCGGTTGCCCTCTTTCCTGTGTTGGGTTTTACACGGTTTGAGTGTTCATACTCTAAATACTCAGTAGAAATATAAATGTCATTTAAGACTATAACATCTTATAATTAAAAATAAAGCTTTTTATTATAAACATTTTACAATTTTATTGTAGAGTAACTTAAAAGTTCAGAAAAGTAGGAAGAAAATCAATCCTCATTACCTATGCAGGCTACCTTCAACACACATTTGACTTGGTTTTTAGTCGTTTCTCAGTATTTATATAAATGGGTACATGTGTACGTGTGTGGTTCTGTATCCTGCGTCTTTGTTTTTGATTATACTACTAATTTTGTTTTGAGGTTCATGGCTCATTGTTTTCTTTGTGCACTTTTTAAAATGTCAGTGTTGATTGTTGGCCCTGGTTTTGCAGCTCGCTTTGCGCCGCCCTGTGTCAGGTTAGTGGCAGGAGTGGGTGACGGCGTGTTGGACGGCGGGCCTCGTGCTTTCGGTCCTTACAGCTGCTCTGCCCAGAGGTTCGGGAGCCAGCAGCCTGCCCTGTGCCCAGCCAGGTTTTTGGCCACCGGGTGTGAAAGGCAGGCCCAGACCCTACGCAAGTCCGAGGTCAGAGGACGGAGGTCTGGGGCCGGAGCAGCAGGCCGGCTTCTCTCTTCTAGCAGAGCCGAAGGTCTAGAAAGTTTAAGGTCTTTGGAAGTTCACTTGCTCTGAAAAATGTCTCCTGGTCGATGCCTGTTGGGAACTCCTTTAATGAAGCAAAGTCTTTCATTTCATCTGAGATCCTCTGGTGGCTTTTGACCTTCTGTGATCAGCTGTAAGCCCTGTCCCCAGGATGGGCCCTCTGACAGCTGTACTTACACCACTTACAAGGGGCATGTCCTGAATGAGTGACTGAACTTTGGTCTCCTTTCCTGTAAAGGGGGGGAGACCACTGATACCTCTCTCATCAGGCTGTCATAGGGATGGGGTATAGGGGGACAGTGTCCACAGGGAGGGACCATGACTCAGCATGTGTTTCAAAGTGCCCCAAGACATCGTTGTCTGGCTCTGCAGGGGCTGATGGCTGGAGAGGCATGGAGGTGACACTAGCTAGAGAACCACCAACCACGGAGGCCTGGGGTGGGGGTTGGGGGGGAATGCTGCTCCCCCCCCTCATTCCTCCTGCGCCCTGCTGCCTAGGCTGGCACTCCAAGGGCCCAGCTCTCTGTCTGCAGAGCAGATACTGAAGGGTTTATTTGGAGCCGAGGGGCTCTTACTGAAAACGGTGCCCTCTCAAAATGGCCTGCCTGTGGTCTGAGTAGTGAAGCTCCTGGAACCCCTGGGGCAGAGAGGGCTTTACAGAACCTGGAGCTCCAGTCTCGCTGCAGTGCCCGGCGCCTTGGTCTTCTCCAACTCTCCTTCTGCCGCTCTGGTGTCTGGTGGGTGTGGAGTGGAATCTCAGGTCTCTCCCGTGGGGCCAGGCACTTCTCGTCCGTGTGTGTGCCCTTGCCTTTGTCTCATCTGCCTTATTAGATGGTTTTCAGGGTCTTGGTGTTTTTGGCCTTTTTTTTTATGAGATGGCTTTACTTTTTAAATGATTTCTAAGAGCTCTTTTAATATATTCTGTATATAAGTTCTATTTCAGTTATGTGTTCTGCATCTTTTCCCGTTCTGTGGATAATTTTTTTTTGTTGTTATTTTTAACTCTTTGTGGTACCATTTGAGAGAAAATTGTTCTTAATTTTAATGTAGTCTATTAATGTAATATAGTTTACTAGTATTTTTCTTTACGGGTATTATTTTATGAGTCTTGTCTCAAAATAGTTCTTATTCTACAGTGGGTTTTTTTGTTGTTTTTTTTACTGTTTTACATTTAGGTTAGTACATGGACTTGAATCTTCTGTGTGTGTGAGCAGAGTTCAGTTTTCATTTTTCCTTACTCGTACCCAGTTGTCCAGCTTTGTTTTTGAAAAGACTGTCCTTTACTTCCTATCTGCTGTTTCATCTGTTGTTAACCACGTATCAGCATAGACTTGAGTCTGTCTCATTTTCTGCTTTGTTCTGTTGCTTTGTTTGCCTCCTCCTGCCCCAGTGCCGCACTGTCTCACCACAGTAGCTCACTGTCTCGGGACAGCAAATCCTCTCACTTCATGACTTTGGACCGTGTCTCAGCTCTGCGTGGCCCTTCACACAGACTGTAGCATCATCTCTCAGATCGCGCGCGCGCGCACACACACACACACACACACAAGCTAGACACGTTCTCTGGTGTGTGAAATCACGCGTGTGCGCAGACACACCCTATTGTGATTCAGATGGGAATGGCACTTAATCTAGTCCTCTGATCTGTAAAAGCGGTATAATTCTACACTTATTTCCTTCTACTTTAATATCGACCTTATTTTTAGAAAACTTTTTAGTGGCATACATTTTTATTTGTATTTTTGGTGCTTTTATAAATGGTTTCTTGATTTTTGCTCATTTTCTGTATATAGAAATATTGTGCATTTTTAAATACTGACTTTGCACCCAGCAACATTTACAAACTCTCTTATTAATTCAAACAGCTTAGTAAGTTTAAAGTATATTTTCTACATAGACTAGAAATGGCATTTCATCTGCTGGGGATAAAATGCCAGTGTAGCTGCTCTGTTCCCACTCCTTGGGCCTTTTGTTTCGTTGTCACGCTGCCTGTGGGGTTCAGTGCCCAGCCGCTGGGAGCTGCTGGGAGTGCTGGTTCCCGACCCTTCGCCCCGCCCCCTTCCGAAGGCAGCGATTCTCTGCAGCTGGCTGTTAATTAGGGTGTGCGCCATGGGTTGTTTTTTGTTAATACCTCTTTTTAGGTTAAAGAAGCCTCCTGTTCTCTTATGGCTAGGAGTTTTTTGCCTTGTTTTAAATTACGAAGGAGTGTTAAATTTCATCAAATATGTTTTCTGCAGTATTTGAGATGCTCGTGTGGTTTTGTCCTTTGCAGGTTAATGGGTGGATCGTACATTGTGATTTCTAATGTTCAGGCGGCTTTCAGTGCAGATACGAGTTCAGCGCTGTCGCGTTAACGTGTCACAGATTCATGTTGTCAGCGTGTCGTTTAGGACCCTGAGCATTATCTTCCTTTCTGACACCGCCCTTATCCTGACCTGGGTCTCCCAGCCGTGCTAGTCTCTTAAAGCCAGTTGGGGATCCTACTCCCTCTTTGTTCTCCGGGAGAGTTGGGTCATTTGGAATTATTTTTTCCTTGAGTGTGAGCTGGCCACATTCTAGGTCTGGTGTCTTCTTTTTGAGGAAATCTTTTGGGGACTACTAATTCAGTTTCCTTAATGGTTAGAGGACTCTTCAGGCTTTTCCTGCATATTTTACAGAATTCTCTATAGAGTCAGTTTTTGTTAGTTGTATTCTAGGGTTTTGGTTATTTTATTGACATTTGCAAACAGTTTGACATTATGTTAGTTGTAATATCTCACGATTTTTTTTCTTTGATGTCTTCAAGATCTGTGGCCATATGCTCTTTAATTTTTGAAAGTTTTTCTCTGTTATTGGTGCCTTTTCTCTCTTTTGAGTGATCTTCTCAAAGGTTGGTCAGTATTGAGCTCCTTGAATAATCAGTTTTGAGTTTCGTAGTATTCTCTATTTTGTGATTGCTTTTAATTTTAATACTCCCTTGCTCTTTATCTTTACTTTCTTCCTTTAGGGCGGTCATTGTGCCATTTTCATAGTTTCTTGAAAAGAATGCTCAGTCCGTTTCTTTTCATCGTCCTCTTTCCCAGCACGTGCGCTTTAAAGCTGCAAACCTCCCCGGGTGTCCAGTTTAGCCGCATCTCACAGGTTTCTGTTCGTAGTATTTTTGTTCACGTTTGGTTTGCAGTGTTTTACTTCCATTGTGATTTTTTTTTTTTGTCTCCTGGGATTATTTAGAACTGTATCTCTTAGTTTTAGACCATGGGGTGTTCTGGTTGCTTGGCGGGATTTGTTCCTATAGATAATTTTGATGTGGTCAGTGAACTTATGTATCAGTTTGACGTTTGGGGAGGGTTGTCTATTCCTCTGTCACGTGGTGAAATGTTGTCGTGTGCCCAGTGTCCTTGAGGGGGCTGTGCATGCTGCAGTTGTTTAAATCCCCTTTTTATTAGTAAAATTCCCTTTTAACTTCTCAGTGGAGCTTCTGCGGGTCATGAGGGGACACTCATCCCACACTGGGTTGCTGCCGTCGAGGTCCAGAGTTGCAATTCTCCATAACTGTGTGACCTTGGTCGAGTTCCGGGAAGCCTCTGTGGGTCTTGGTCTCTCCTGCTCTGTGATGCGGATTTACACAGTGAGCACTCCGAGTTTCCGTGTAGAGTTTCCATGATGTGTGCTGGTTGCAGATGGTGGCCAGCTGGGCATTTCCTGCGTTCCCCGCGGCACACTCAGCACTTGCAGTGAATTCACATTTCAGCCCTTCAGTAGCTCTGCGAGTAGGTGATGCTGCCCCCGTTGTGTGCTGAGGAAATTGGATCCTGTGCAGGTTAGATAAGTTTGTAGGTTCATGTTATGTTGGGAATTGAATTTATGTCTCCTTTTTCTTTTTGGCCCCTAAATAGTTTTGTTTTGCTGTTATTCTTCTTCTTCTTTTTAAAAACAATACCTTATTTTTCAGAGCAGTTTTAGGTTCGTGGCAGAATTGAGAAGGTACAGAGGTTTCTCATGTGTCTCCTGCCCCCACACCCTCACAGCCTTTCCCACTGTGAACACCTGGCCCCAGAGTAGGTCATTTGTGACAGGTGACGAGCCTACACCAGCACGTCATTGTCACCGGGAGGCCATAGTCTGCATGAAGGGTCACTCTTGGTGCATTCAATGGGTTTGGGCAAGTGTATAATGACGGGTATCCACCATTGTAGTGCAAAGAAGTGTAGTTTCTTTATTCTCTGCTCTTCCTGCTCATCCCTCCCTCCCCTGACTCCTGACAACCACTGATCTTTTGACCATCTGCACGGCTTTGCCTTTTCCAGAATGTTGGAGGGTTGGAATCACAGTGTGTAGCATCTTCAGATTGGCATCTTACACTTAGTCGTGTTTTCCTCTATGTGTTTGCATGACTCGCTAATAATTTCTTTGTAGCCCTGAATACTGTCCCACTGTCCGGATGGACCACAGTTTATCCATCACCTGCTGAAGGGCCTCTGGTTGCTTCCACGTTTTGGCAGTTACGAACAGAGCTGCTATGAACCTCTCGTGCAGGCTTTTGTGTTGACATAGGTTTTCAGTCCCCTTAGGTGGACTCCAACAAGGGCGGTTGCTGGGTTGTGTGTGAAGAGTGTGTGTCGTTTTGTAAGGAGCCACCAGACTGTCTTCCCCTGCGGCTGCCCCGGGTCTCACCCACTGCAGTGGTGAGTGGAGAGAGCCCCAGTCACTCCACATCCTCACCAGCATTCTAGATTTTGCCCATATTTTGCAGTTTTATGTGGTGAATTTGTACTAAACATGTCAACAAGGTTGTTAATAAATTTCGGTTCTTTTAAATATACTGGTATTTTTGCTTATTCAATCACTTACTGAGGAAGGTATATTATAAATACCTATTTTAATGTGGATTTTTCTCTTTGTTCCATACTTTTGTGAGTGTTATTTTTTTAATTTATATATTTGAGGCCATGTTAAGGTCATTCCAATTTAAAATTGTTACATCTTTCTAGTGAGTTCAGTCATCCTGAAATGACTTTTTACAGAAATCACCAGTAATGCTTTTTTGCCTTCAGCATTCGCCTTAAGGTTTATTATGTCTGATTTTAAATGGTCCGTGATGTTCTTTGCAGGCTGATATTTGCCTAGCATATCATTTTTACGATGCTTTAAGTTTAAAAGCCCTAGTCTACGAGCACCTTTTTAAAAACCGGAGCATGTCTTCCCGTATTTAATGTATTCAGTAGTCACCGGTGTATTTGTGTTCACATTTAGTCTTTAAGAAGTCAGTGAACCTTGTCGAATGCTTTGTTTTGGTGCGTCGGTTTAACATTAATGTCATGTACAAAGTTTCATTGTGGAGAGAGAACTTTGTAGTTACAAGAAGCTAACAGAAACTTTCTGTTTGGTAACATTGGGGATATTTCTTGTTAAAAATGTGTTTATTCTTTGTGTTAAAATCATTTAATCATGTATCTTGTTTAAATCCTCAGCTTTCCGCTGTGGCCTGCAGTTCTTAGGCAACGCCGCCTCGCGGAACGAGGACTCCCAGGCCGTCGTTTGGGCTCACGCCTTCCCGGAGCTCTTTCTGTGAGTGCATCGCTGAGTTTTTCTCAGAGACAGTGGGTAATACCATTCCATGTGACGAAGTTCAGAAACAGGGAAAACGAACCTTTGCTAACAGAAACAAGGATTGTGGTTTCCCTGGGCAGGCCGTGGTGGGTTCAGTGCCAGCCGAGAGGGGCATGCAGGTCTCTGGGGTTCTGGGAGAGCTCCGCAGCCTGATGTGGGGGCTGGTTACAGAGGTGTGTGTACTTATCTGCACAGTCATTGACTTTTGATTTGTGCCCTTTGTTGTATGTCAGTTTCACTCTAAGAAAATAAAAGTTTGGGTTAAAATGAGAAATACTGTTCTGATGGACATGATAATTTATAAGAAAAAGCCTTAACATTGAAGTGTGGGCGATGAGTTGACCCCATGTGCACCGAGCACTTACCGTGTGCTTGGGGTCGAGCCACGTGCTTTCGTCGATGTGGAGAGCTGCGGGCGTGTGCCTGCTCGTCGGGCCCTGCCTCCTCCTCAGTTGTGTGTGTGGAGGGAAAAGGTGGGCTGGGGGCGGAGGGCAGATGGGGAGGGGGAGGGGTAAAGCCCTGTTGGGGTGCAGAGGCCTGGCTTCTGATCCGGCTGTGTTGCCACCAAGTGGGGTGACTTTGGTGGTGGCACAGAGCAAGCAGCAGAACAGCTGCTGCTTGCTGCTCGGATGCCCTGAGCCGGGCTTGTCTGTATATTTTCCCCGTTCTGTGCTCACAGCCCTGCTGGGTGAGTGGTGGAGGGTGAGTGGACAGATGTGGGGACCAACACTGGTGCTGGGCATTGGCGGAGCTGGGTGCACACCCTGCGTGGCTCTTGGGTCCAGAGCCTGCGCTCCTCATGTACCTGCTGCCTGTGCCCTTTGCTGCCTTCCCTAGTTGCACAGGCATGTCTCGGTTACCTGTAAAGTATAACTGCCATGTTACTTTTGGCTCACTGAGTACAACTGCCACTCAAGCTGCTGCGGGGAACTGGAGTGGAAGGCACCTATGATTACTAATAGCTGAGCTTAGGGGGGAGGAAAGAAGTGTGGGATTCAAGCTACAGAGATAATGTTATTTATTTTTTGGAATCCATTCCTTTAAAACATTTTGGGTGCCTAATACCTGCCAGGTTCTGAGCAACATGAATGGCATAGGGGCAACTCGGAGGCACTTTCCTATTCCCAAAGAGCTCATGCTGTGGTGGGAGGTAAGGAACAGGTGCCCACATTGTAGCTCAGAAATTGACCCAACCAGATAAACCCCGGGTGTCATGGAAACGCAGGCGAGGGGCCCTCTAGCAGGTGTAGGTGCTCAGGGAAGTCGTGACAGGTTGCCTGGTGCTTCCCGTCCGTTCCCTCAGCCTCAGAGGCCCCGTGAGGTGGGCCGAGGAGGTCTTGTTCCCGTGTTCCAGTTTTGTGTCAGAAAGCCCATGGTACGAAGTCAGGTGGCATCACTCCTGATGAGTCTCCGAGACAGGTAGAACCCGACTTGAATTGCAGCTTCTGCTGGTACTGTCTTTGTGTCTTTGGGCAGCTGCAGTCAACATATTCTTTATCTGAAGTATAAGGCTAATACCTTCTCCAGAATAATGAAAAATGAAGTTCTGCTGTTGTTCATGACCCAAAGCAGAATCGGCAGTAGCTAAGGTGAGAGCCTCCCGAATGCACGAGGTGGTAGGTAGGTGGGCCAGGGCTGACCAGCACTGCGGCTCCTGACTCCAGAGTCTCCTTCCTGCCCGGGTACCACCGTCCCTTAAACACCCTGCCCTTCGTGACTGCTGATGGATGCCTTGTGTTGTGACCCATTTGATATTTGCTGTTTCTATAGTAAATAATGTACGTGTTTCTAAGTGTTGGAATTCTTCATTAGATCATTAGAAATTCAGTACCTACTGAATTTGTTAATAGGGTCATTGTTATGTATATGCTGTAGTCACATTTTGTTGTGTTGTTAAACAGGGCTAACACTTATTTCTTTATTTGGAAGGTCTTGCTTAAATCATCCAGACAAAAAGATTGTTTCCTACTCATCAATGATTTTGTTCACATCCCTTAATTCTGAAAGAATGAAAGAACTGGAAGAAAACCTCAACATTGCCATTGATGTCGTGGATGCTCACCGAAAGCAGCCTGAGTCCGAGTGGCCGTGAGTATCACGTCAGGAGTTTGATTGCTGAAGAACCTCTGACAGACCGCTTTCCTCATAGAGGTTTTAAGTAAAAACTTGGCCTATAGAACCTGGACAGGAAGTTAAGACAACGCGTGCTGACTGAGTAGGAGGGGTTCCTCGGCAGACCCCGGAGGGTCCCCTGAGGAGGGTGAGTTTTGGAGGCGGGGCAGGTGGGGGGGCACTCGGCATGCTACAGCGCAGGGCGCAGACAGAGGCGCAGATCGGTCGCAGTGGCTGCAGTGGGAGGCCCGTTGGAGAGTGGGGGATGGTGTGTGTGTTGCGGGCACTGTGCAGCCGCGGAGTCCAGCGTCCCAGCGGCGGTTGGTGAGCGCGCTGCGCATCATTTCGTTCCAAGCAGACACATCGAGGCTGTTGACGGCCTCACCGCCGGTCTGTCGGGAGAATGGTCCATGTCCTTGAGAGCACCGCGTGCTCTGGTTTTGTTGGGGCGTTCTGTAGCCGCCTGTCAAGGTGCAGTTGGCTTAGCCTGTCTCGCTCACGGCTTCTGCCTCCTGGATGGCCTTCTGTCTGGTCTTCTGTTACTGAAAGGGGGTCGTTTCCTCTTTCTCCCTTCGCTGCCGTTGGCTTTTGCGTCACTCGTTCAGTCCTCATTAGACACGTGTTTGTACCTGCTGCGTCATCTGAGGAGTTGACGCTTTCCTCACTATGGAATTCATCGAAAGTAGTTGTTTTTATTTATGACTGTGCTTTTCCTGTTTTCTTTAAAATCTATTTCTGTGTCTGGTTTTCCGGTAGTGGCGTGTGTTCAGGCTTGAGATCGTCTCTGGGGGGAGTCTTGAGCTGCCAGGGGTCCCACTTGCATTTCACAAGCAAGGCATGAAATTGCCTCGTATTTGCCTCTTTCAGTGTGAATTTTTTTGTTCTGTTGAAATTATACCTGATTTTAAAATACTCTTTATTTCTGAACATGTATTATACTTGAATTACCATTTGCACACAAATAGTAGTTGGTACAGAAATAATTATGTAATTGTGCTTGATTTAGAAAACCTCCCTCAGAATTCAGCGTTTTTAACGTGGTGGATGAATCACTGGAGTCAGGTTACTAAGAGAAATTTTCTGCCGCGGAATTCTGCTTTCATTTGTTATGTATCTTGGATCTATATTTTAACCATCTGGAATAAAGGGCAAAAGTTGTAAAGGGAAAAATGTGAGATCTCCTTCAGGTTAGCTCAAGTTCAGGCCATTGAAGGTCACCAGATGGGGTCAGACGGGAGCAAAGAGCAGAGTGTAGTGGTCAAGTGTGTCTCTGAAGTCTGTTTGCTGAAGGCTGTGACTTCTGTTAGGAAGTTCGCGTCTGGTAAACAAAACTGGGACCACAGACTGTCCTGAGGCATCCAACAAAATTGTTACTCTTTGCTGTTAAATATGAACGCACCCCTGAACATTGGGAGAAAAAACCCAGTTCGTGCCCTTCCACCGCCCAGTGTGTGAGAGCTCATGGCAAGTGCGAACGGTGCAGTGCTGGGGTTCCAGGGTTCAGTGTCTTTTCTTGGAAAGGGGCGAATGTGAGGTTTCAGTGCCTCTGGGTCTTTTCGGTTTGGTTCACACAGGAAAGCGTAGGCAGGACGGCTTTGGCACCACTCAGTGTGAATTATTGGGATAGTGTCCTTCTAAAAATGCTTGTTTCTCTCGTTGATGGGTGTGAAGTGTGTGTTTATGTTCTCAGATGACCTGGCTGGATCCGGGGATTGAATTTTGGCATTTGAGTCCCTCAGAACTGGACAGCCCTGCACATGTGCATTGGCAGGTTAGAGAAGTACAGGTGGGTCTGTGTGTCCTTGCTGGGGTGGGGGGCACAGTGGGACCACTGCCTCGTGCCGCCTCTGTGATGGGGGTGCCATGTGGGGGTGTCTCACAGTCCCTGGCTGCCATTCTGGGATGGTGTTTTGCCGCCCTGAGCAGGTAAGAGCCCTGAGCCATCAGTCAAGGTTACCCAGTCTGACCCAGGTCGCAGGACCAGTGTAGAGCAGAGGCAGGGTTAGCAGGCCGCACTTGAGGCTTCTGCGTTTATACTCTGCTACGTATGCTAAGAATGATCAGTTAGGGGAGGAGGCCGGAGTTCAAAGGTGAGGTATGAGTTCTTTCAGTTTCGGCCTCTTTCAGTGTAAACTTTTCTCACAGTTTCCCTACAAAAACAAGTTTATGACTGAGTAGAGTATTACTTTTGGTTCATATTTGGGTTATCTAGTTGATTTATTTTGTATGACTAGGTTTCACTCCCAGATTGCTATCTCCTTTGCTCTAGGGGTGTTTCTCACCCTATGCATATAAATTTTACTGTTTCCTTATCTGTAAAGATATTAGGGAGATACACTTAATTGTCCTTCCTGTTGCCCCTCTTCTGTCCTCCCTGCACTCCAATTTCATAGCACTTAACGACAGTCTGGGAGACTGGGCTCCCCGATGAGGGTTGAGTGTTGTTTGTCCTCGGACCTTCCCCGGGACCATGGCTGGCATGTGACAGGTATGGTGCTGTTCTCCTGAGTCTTAAGTGCCAGAAGCCCGGCTCAGAATGCGCATTCACGAGAGGGAATTTACAGGCTTACAGAACTGAAAAATCCTGGAGTTGATTGGGTTTTTAGGCACGGTGGGCCCCAGGGCCAAAGGATGCACCAGCACCGGCTCAGCCATGTCTTGTTCTGTGCTGGTTGCGCTCTCAGATACCTTCCTGCTCCGTGGCTAGCGCCTGCCCTTTGTGCCACCCCAAGTTGCTGTGGCCCTTGGCCAGTCTTCAGATGCCTTCTATGTCATTGCTCGTTCCTGGACGTCCTTACCTAATTCCACAGCTTAAAGTTTCTTTCTAAGTTGATGATTTCCAAGTGTGTGCATCTGGCCTTGACCTCTTGCCACAGACTTATGTGTGTGCTTTTCTGTTGCACACTGGTGACATCTCACACTTAGGAAAGCTTTGGGTTCCCTGCACCCTTGAAGCCCGCTGCTGCTCTGCCAGTTCTACTGGTTTTGTGACTAGTGTCTCCAGTCTCCCGGCTCTGAGTTCCAGACCCTGTTCATGCCCTGAACCTGAGGGTCAGCTCTGAGTCTCTGCTGTCACCGGCTCACACTCATCAGCATTGTCTGCACACCATGTTCCAAGGTCACCTGCCACGGCAACTCGAGGCCCCGCCATCTCTGCTGTAGACAGCTTGCTGCCAGAACTTCCCTGCTTCCCTTCCTGCCTCTCCTCGGGCCCTCTGCATCACCACACAGCACCCAGGACGACCTTTCAGAAAGTGGCTGTAGAGCTTGCCACTCTCTGGCTTAAAGACACCAAGGAGCAAATTCAGAGCACCATCTTTTGCCCCAAATTTTGAGAGAACAATAAGGATGCACATTATACACGGGTATAATGATTACACGCCATGGAAAGAATCGTGTATAATGTGCACAAAAATGTGGGCATGCATATTACATGGCAAAATGCAGTGCTTGGCCTGTCCTTGGTCCTGAATGACCTCCTGCCTTATTCTGACTGCCTTTTCCCTTGCCCTTGACTTCCAGCTTGTCCCACCACCTTTCTTTGAAGGCCTCGGCTTTGTTCTTCTCAGAATCCGACCCCTGCTCTTCCTTCTGCCTGGCACAGCCCCTGCAGGTCTCTGCACAGCTGTCTTTCTGGTCTTCACTCCCGTGTGTCTTCGCAGAGAACTTCCTGTCCCCAGATGAGAACTGGTGTCCCTCTGAGCTGTACTGGAGTGCTCTTCTTTGTGACTTAACAGCCCTCAGCATGACTTAAAGTCACATAATTTATTTATTTTCTCATTTGTATGTTGCTACCATGTAGGACTAGCCCCACAGTGCTTGTAATTAGTTGCAAGAACGTGTTGGCAAACTAGGGTCCATGGCCAAATCCAGCCCACGGTCTGTTTTTGTAAATATGTTTTTATTGGCACACACCGTGCTCACAGGCTTCTGTGTGAAGCTTGAAAGTACCTGTGGCTACTTTCACGCAGCCACGCAGGCTCAGGGACTGGGCCTTTGGCCCACGTGGCCTAAAGTAGTTACTATGGAGCCCTGCGTGGAAGAAGGACCTGCTGCGTCGTCTTTGTTGGCTGAGTTGCGTGACTGGTGGCGTCCTTGGCTTTCAGTTGCCTCAGGCTCATGGTTCCCAGGGCTCCTGGAGAGAGACTCCCAGAGGGTCCGTCTCAGTCCCCCCTTGAGCCCTGTGCAGGCCCACCTCAGAGACGCTGCAGCTTGGCTGCAGCCCCTGCGGTGCAGCAAGTCTCGTGCAGTGTTCGGCTCCTGTGCCCGCCAGAGTCATCTATGCTGTGGACTGTGCAGGGCGCTTCTCAAAACGTCTGCGCACAGTTCTGACTTGCGGTTGCACGCAGAGCGCAACTTGTGATTTTTTTTTGCATGTACATCTTTTTGTGACACGTTGGAATACTTTGGGATGTAAAGAAGTATTTTTTCTTTGTAAACTTTGGCTGGCAAATGTTTTGGGAAGTTTGGGCGTTAAAAGCAAAGAGGTATTCTCCAGGAGAAGTGTTAACTCGCTAGATCTTTGCAGATCTTTTGCACAGTGTGGAGCGGCCCTTGTTGGCTCACATCTTCATCCCAGGCCCTGTTCCAGGGCCCTGGAGGCCATGTGTTGGCCTCTGTGGTGGAGCTTTGGGAGCTCCAGGACTGATAGCCCCTGTGGGCAGTTTGGGCTCAGTCTTGAAAGGAAAAATTTCTGTTATTCAAAGAAGGAAAAAGGGATCTTGGGCAGGAAAAAATTGGCAGCCATCTATAGGAACTCGGTAAAGAATGGATGAAGGAATCATTTTCATTGTCTGTACTGCTTTCGAAGTTAAATATTGTTTAATTTTTCTTATTTGGTTGGAGTTGCGTTCTGATGTCATTACTAGAAGCAGGAGGAATAGGATCCTGGGATACTGGGACCATGGATACTGAGCCTGGTGCCGCTGCCTGTGGTGCCAGCTGAGATTCAAGCCCAACTCTCTCTGACTCCAAAAGCTACGCTTTTCACTCTCAAAACAGCTGCTGCTCTGCCAGTGGGAGGCGGAGGGCAGGGCGGCAGGAGCAGGGTGGCGGAAGCAGGATGGCGGAAGTGTGCCTGTGTGGGGTGGCATTTCAGCCCTGCCTTGCATTCAGTGTCCGGGGGATTCAACTAGTATTGTTTTCCAGTTGAAGAAGCGTTATCATTGAATTATCAGACTGTTGGTCACTTATCTTAATATTTCATTTAACCTGCTAAAAAATGTTACTATACCAATAGCGGAGAGAGGTTATTTGCTACAATAGCTCCGTGAGCCCTGTCCAGAAGGCTGTGGTGAGCAGCCGAGGATGGAGTTCCCAGATCTCAGAGCCACTAGGAGGGTGGTGCTCATTTTTAAGAGTGTGTTTAAATCAAATTCTTTAAAAAAATATTCTATTTATTTATGTTTAGAGAGGGAGGAAGGAGAGGAGAAAGAGAGGGAGAGAAACATCAGTGTGTGGTTGCCTCTCATATGCCCCTGTGGGGACACAACTTGGCTCACAGCCCAAGCCTCTGCCTCGACTGGGAACTGACCCGGCTACCCTTTGACTCGCAGGCTGGTGCTTAGTCCAATGAGCCACAGCAGCCAGGGCCAAATTCTTAATTCATAATCAGTGAGGTGTAAAAACATTTTCTAGGGTTTTGCAGTTAATGAAATTTATTTGTGTTTTACATACAGCTTTGGCACTGCGTCCTTGTGTATGGGAATGAAGAGAATAAATGGCTTCATTGGTAGAAATTTCCCTCCAGGGGAGCCTGACTCTAGGGTTTCCTGACAACGGGGTCACTGTTGCTGGTCTTTTTCCGTGTTTGCCACCTTACATCGACATGGGAACACTGTGACATGGGCGCGACCCGTCTCTCTGTAGTGGTTCTCACACTTCAGAACCGGCAATGCTGCACGTGGGCAGGGTGAGCGGGCTGGGGAGAGGGGCCTCGTGCACTGTGGTTTTTAGCCAGTGTGGAAACTTGTAAAATCGTGGTCAGCGCTTTGGCATCAACAACTTGCTTTATGAACTCTGGCTGCTCTGTAACCACCTTTAAATGAGGAATTTCCGTATTAAACTGAGCAGCTCTGCTGCCAGCTGCCCAGGAGGTGTCCACTCTGGCACCAGGGGGAGGGACGAGCCCCCCGCCCCTGCCTCCCATGCAGCGCCTGCTGCCTGTGCCTGAGGGGCAAGCTCAGTCCGCCGACGAGCACACGCGAACCCAGGACGCAGAAAGGGTTACAGCTCTCATTTTTTGTTCTTGTGAAACAAAGATGTGTTTATCAAATGCCTCTTCCACTCCCGCTGCCTGGTAGAGGGATGCATTTTTTACCTTCCCCAAGGCAACGTGCTCCACTGTCCATCACGCTGGAGTGTCGTTGGAGCGTCACCAGCAGTCTCTACACGTCCTGCGGCATTTCAGGTTTTACATTAGTGGGGCCCGGCCTCACAGTATTACCACACAATTTCTCAATTTACAGAAATAGTTCTGCAAAAGAGTTTAATCACAAATTTAAAGTGTGTAACTCAGAAAATATTGAACATGGTTGGATCTCTTTATTATGAAAGTTTTCATCTGTGATTTCTCTTGAGTAGATATTGGGTAAGAAAGTAAATGCAGTGAATTCTGACTGGAAGTTGAGAACTTACATGTAACTTTATGCAGCATTGTGGAATGGAGAGTGTATGTATTGTTTTCAGAAAAGTAAGCCAAGCAACTACCTTATAAAAACTTCTGCGTAATTGACAGCCGCTTAAAGGACGATTTTTGAGTAGCAAGAAGAGCACCCCATCATCTCTGCTTCACACGTGTTATATTATTTCCAGTCAGTGCTGTACGTTGAAATGTTCGCCTGCGAGCTGGTGGAGCAGAGCTCCCATTGTCTGTGTGGGTGCTCGCACAGAACACCTCTTTTCTGATGGATCTGTACAGTGGATGTGAGCAACAGTTGCTCTTATCCTCGAAGTTATGGTCGTGAAGTCAAACACCACTGTCTTCACTTGCTGGGAGATGTTTACTGTGTGCTGGAAAAAAGAAAGAATGGGCCTCACCCCTGACCATTTTGAGCTGAGACAGGTAACCACCTTCACCTGAGTGATGTTTGTAGAATGTTATCTTAGTGTTTGCAAGATCTGCTTTCCTCTCAGCTGCACCTGCTGTGTTCACAAGACAGACTGTAGCCTGAGCTACTAAAACATCTCTACACAGAAAGGATTGGAATCAGGCAGAGAAAGTTCTCTGACCACAGTGAGCTTATGTTAGAAAACTGGAACAAGAAAAATTCCAAGTTTTTTTAAATTAACACATCTAAATGGTCTGTTTATTGAATAAGAAATCACAAGGCAAATTAAAAATGTTTTGACCTGAAGGATAATGAAAGCACAAAATTTTCTAGGATAAAGCTAAAGCAGCACTTAGAGGGACATTTATAGCTTCACGTTTTTGTATTAGAAAAGATGGTCTGAAATCAGTGCCTCTGCCGATCAAGGTTCTACTTTGCGAAGATGGAAAGAGAAGAGCGTGGTAAATCCTGAGTAAGTCAAAAGAAGAAGCTGGTGAGGGATAAGGTCAGGCGTCCATGAAATAGGAAACAGAAGCACAATAGAAAAAATTAACAAAGGCCGAGCTGTTCTTGGAAGAGAACAGGAATGACCAGTGTCACAGGGAAGGTGTGGCTGTCACATGAGTCTTCCTTGCTCAGGCCTTGGTCGGGCAGCTTTCTCTAGCCCAGGGTTCCCCAGAGGCTAACAGCCGAGGGCCCCTTACCAGTGGTGGTGTCCAAGGGTTCAACTGTCAGTTCTGCATCCTCCTTTAAACCCTAATGGTGTCTGTTACTTGAGCACGCTGCTATTCTTTCCATCATGCTATTTTACAAGTATTTTTGGATCACATCTAATTTAATAGTCTCCCCTCGCTCTTCAACTAGGGACTCCCGGAACACACCCTCCAGCCTCCTTGCCTTGCCCATCCGTTACCCTGTCCCCCAGCCCTGCCGTTAGATGAGTGTGTCTCTGCTGTAGTCCGTGATGTGTGTCCAGGTGTTGTACTTGGGACGGTTTTCTGTGAACACCTCTCTACGTGTGGGTCTTTCTCTGCTGTTAGAGTTTGGAAATGTGGTTTGTGCTGCGGCCTCTGGCACAGGACTCGGAACATTGTGTTTTTTGAATGAATATTCTCATGGGGAAATATTCTCAGTTGAATATTTTATAGATGAATTATGTGAACTAGCTTTAGGACCACGATTTTGTGTATGTGGCTTGAAATGCATGAATTTCTGTAGTTGCAGTTTGATGAGTTACCTAAATTGATGCGAAAGTTATTGAGAATTTTCCATGTGAACTCTCATTGTTAGAAATATTTTAATGGAAGTGTTGATCAGTTCTTTGAAAGGTTGTAGAGGAAATAGAATATGCGTCTCACATGCAGTGACAGTGCATCATGGTAGCTAATCTGCTTTGTCCTGATATTCCGAAAGCCACACTTCGGTTTGTTACATAGCGATGAAACAAAATGATTGTAGAGGTGTTCGCTGTCCACCACACACTCTGATTGCTCTCACTGCGGTTGCAAACAGTGTACTCTTTCGTTCTTGAGTCTTTGGATGCCCTCTGGTAAATATGGTTCAGAATTAATTAATAATACTACTCAATCTTTTTAGTTGTCACAGTGGCACTTTGAAGAAATATGCTCGTAATCTCTGCCTGGGGGCTCCCCGAGTGGGTCTCTGAGTGCGGACGACTGCGCCGCCTGACAGTGAGGCTGTTTTCTTGGTAACCTGAGAGCTCAGAGAGGCTGGCCAGCTGCTGGCCTCCGTTTAATTAAAAAGTGGGATGTGTCTGCCTCTCCGGTTCATGTTAGCGCCGAGCTTCTGACCCACATGATTTGATGTTTTCTCTTTATGTCTGCGCCTGCAGCTGAACTTCATTCTGTTGTTTAAACTGGAGGGAAGTGTTTTTCCTTCTTGGCTTAGGTGTACACAAGAGCGGGCCCTTCTCTGTAGTTGAATAAATTTGGATCATTTCAGTAAACTTTTTAGAAGTAAAATTGGAGATAAATCGTTGGAGAGTATTAATTTTCTTTTAGCTGATAATAGAAAAATAGTATGTGAACCTCTTAAAAAACATTTTAACATTATAGCTGTTCCAAAATTCAGTGAAAAGGAGTGCTTTCATATGTAAGATATGCCTATAGAGCAGATAAGGCCATGTCTGTTTTACTGCGTTTCTATTAACCAAACTTTTTCCTTCTTTTTTCTTAGGTTCTTGATTATTACAGACCATTTTCTGAAAAGCCCGGAATTGGTCAAAGCCATGTATGCCAAAATGAGCAGTCAAGAAAGGTAACCCCCAAACCAGTGTGGTTTTGAGGATTCAGCGTTCCCTATAGAGTATCCTGTACACATGACTGAAAGACTATGTGGTTTCTCCGTTGGCACAGAATCTCTAAATACATGTTTCTGTGTCAGTAATGGTTTTAAATTGGTTGGTTAACATTACAGCTCAGCCACAACAGGCAGTGATTAACGTGGGTTTGAGAATCCAGGTTGGCGCCATTGTTCAGTTAAGACATATTAAAAACGCTAGGGACAAAGCGTCCTGCTTGTGCTGTGATTTTATGGTGGGATCCGCGCAGCTCCGTGGTTCCGATGTGTGTTTGGAAAGTGCCATGTTCACCTCCCTGGTGTTGTAGTTCAGGGTCTGCTCTACCAGGCCCGTGGCTTCCAACAGACACTCAGGCCCATGGGAAGTCAGTGCCCTGCTGCGCCCTGTGTCCCGGCTGCTGTAGCAGGAGGGGCAGCGAGTGCCCCCCAGAGCGGGACTGGGACCCCTGCCTTGGGTGGACATTCTGTGTGGGATGGCGGCCAGGTCTTTCACCGGGTTTGCCCTCAGTTTCTTGACCCCAAAAATCAGAGGATTGAAGACAGTGATTCACAGTTCTCTTTCCGTTCCAACAGGATGTGCTTTTCCGAACCTTATTGGAGGTGTTGTTGTCAGAAGTCTGATGACCAAAAACTGACATAATGATCAAACACTTTAAACAGGAACAATCCTCTCATTGCGTTCACAGTTTGTATAGTTGCCTCGGTTTTGACACTCTTCCTGTGTGCTGGGTTCCAGCATCTCAGCCCCACGCGCTCCTTTGGCCTAGTGCTCAGTGGTGCTTTTCTTTTTCAGTTTTTACCGAAGGAGAGAAGCCCACACTTTTTAAGTTGGTTTAAATGTGATGTTTATAGATCCATGCCTCCTGTCACCACCACCTATGCATACTTTTGTTCCTGAAAAAGAATTATTTGCAGTCTTTTGACCTAAAAAGAGTAACATGACAAGCAGCGCTGCAGTTAGCCGCGGCTTTGCAGCAAGGAGCACGCGGTGCCGGACGGCACAGTGTGACTGTGCTCTCGCGTTCATACTCCCCGCACGCTGTTGAGTGGCCTGTCTGTACAGCCGCTCGAATCTAACCGAACTCGGACAGCAGACTACACGTTTTCTGGGGTTAGTGATGCGGTAGTTGTAGCCACCGCCTCCCACACGGCAGTGTTCTGCTTGAGTATTACCTTCTCCTTTGTTTTCCTTCCCAAGGAGAATTTCCATCATCTCATCACATAATCTATTATAAGTCAGACCTTGTCACAGACCTGCTTGCAGGGGTGACATGGCCCTTAAGTGGCTCACTGTTCTGCGGAGTTCAGGTGTCCTGGGACGCGCTTGGCACAGAGCAGGTGCGAACAGAGCTTTTGGAATGGAAGCCTGAGTCAGTGAATGGACCGTCTTACCCATGAGAGGCGCTTCAGTGGGCAGATTGATATGCCGTCACCTGCCAGATCAGAAACCCCGTGCCGTCCTCAGCACCACTGCCTCTGCTTCTCAGGCCACACGGCCAGAGAGCCTGCCGGGACCCGGCTCAGGGTCTGCGAGTCCCCTCTCTGCAGCACCGCTCCGGGGCACCCCGAGGTCATCTCTGACTGACTGTAAGAGACACATGACATAAATTCACCCTCTTAACCATTGTCAAGTGTGCGGTTCAAAGATTCAGTATATCCAGACTGTTGGGGAACCCACTTTCAGAACGTTTTCTATCTTGCAACACCGGAACTGTGCCCATAAACCACGCCCCTTCCCCAACCCTGGACAGCCTCCATCCTGCTGTCTGTCTCTGAATTTGACCATGTTCCCTATAAGTAGGATCACACAGTATCTGTCCGTTTGTGACTTGGCTGCCTTATTTCCCAGACATGATGTCCTCAAGGTTCACCTGTGTTGTAGCGGGTGTCGGAACCCCTTCCTTTTTCAGGCCAAGTGATATTCCACTGTGTGTGTATATCACATTATGCTTACTGAGTTGCTTATCGGTGGAGGGTTGGGTTACTTCCACCTTTCAGCCACTGTGACGAATGCCACTGGGAACGTGGGGGAGTGTGAGAGGGCTGGCTGCTTTATTCTGGCTTTTTCTTCTCCTGTGGTACCTGCTGCTGTGCCGGCACAGAGCCGCCCTCCCCTTTCCGTGGCACATGCAGCTGCTGCAGGGTGCACTTGGGTTCCGAGGTGGGGTCCTGAGGCCCTCTGTAACCCTCCCCTGCTGGCCGCCACACACAACTCGCAGTCCTCCCGGACTCCCTGGCCTTCCTGCTTTTGCATGTGCGTTTTCTCTTCTTGGAGCGGCCAGACCGCCACCTCGCCTCTGAGAAGATGCACACACTCCGTGAGCCCTCGTCAGACACCACCTGCTTCCTCCTGGCTCTGCTGACTTTCCCAGACTAGAGTCTTTGCATCCTCATTGCAGGTTTATCATTAATTATTGCTTTTCTGCTAGTGTGTGTGTTCTTCAGGACACAAGACAACAACTAGTGACTTCTCTGTCCTTAACACCTACCAGAATCAGTCCTGAAACAGAAGGGATAGTTAGCTCATACCGAACACTTACCGAAACACATCTTTGGGGTGGCATGTCTGTGACACCCCGACAGCAGCTGGCTAGGTTGGGGGAGTGGCTTTCCTGTAGCAGTGGGTGTGGCTGTGCTCAGCGGGGTTCCATTGACGGTCACTGTGGACCCTGGTGAACAAAGACACAAAGACACGTGTCATTGCTCAGTGGCAGTGTTGAACTTGACACCCAAGCCACAGAGCCACATCGTCAGGGCGACCTTGCTCTTTTCAAAATGCTTCTTATATGAGAACATGTGTAAGTCAGAGATTCAGCATGATTAACCATGTCCTAGTTCTAAGAAAACGTCACTGAAGAACTAGCTTCATTTTTGTTCTACGTTTGGTACATTTTTCTCTCACGAACTTGTACACAGCTCTCGGGAGGAAGGTTGGTCAGTGTCTGAAGCAGCACAGACCTTAACCCACAGGTCAGTCTCAGAAGGTTGACTGCTGTCCCTACGTGGCAGACGAGTACACAGGACGAGAGGTTCAGTGGCTTGTCCAGGGTCCCACTGGAGCGGACGCCAGAGCCAGGGCTCAGTTCAGGGAGCCTGGCGCTGGCGTTTGTCCCGAAAGTGGCTGCCCTCTGCCACCTGCTGCAGGCCACTAAGGTAGGACGGCGTTTGTGTTACATGTAAACACGCAGCAGGGCACTGTATGAGAACATGTGAGGTTAATGCTTTTAGGAAGAGAGAATCCTCTTCTCATTGGGTGAGTTCTTTCTCCTGAACTTTGGTGTACTTCTCTGGTATTGATGGCGTGTCCACCATGGCGTTTTAGAGGTCATGGTCGGTCAGCAGATGTGAGCTCAGTGAATGACCGCAGGCAGGCCCGACGGTCTAACCTCGGTTTTGTTGGGAGATAGGTTTTGCTGGAGGTGGGGCTTTGTGGTTCATATTAAACGTGGTTATACGGCCTCAGCCAGATTTCTAGCTGTAGCAAACTTTGTTTTCAGGAAACAGCAACCAAAAATATTCTGGCTTGAGATTTGTACTTCTGTTTCCCGGGCCCTCTAAATTGCACATATACACACATGGAAGCAATTTAATTATGCCAGCAAATTTTGTGACATATTTGACCACTTAGGATTAAAGGAAGTGGGGCCCAAATGCAGAAAGGCAGGGCACTTTACGCAGGCTAAAGGCAAAGGCTGCGCACACTTTTCACCGCTCTGTGGTTCAAGTTCCAGTGGCATTTCTTTGATTTGCTTCCTTTCAGTAATTCTGAGCCTGTGCTCTGAGCAGGGTGCTGCCTCACTTTCTTCAGGGAAGTGGTGCACCTTTTACCTTAAACGCAGCGCCTGCCCTCAAGGGCCCTCTAGCCTATTTGTGAACTTCTCCAGAGAGCCTTGGAAGGGGGCGGGGGGCAGAGGTGGGCAGTGGGGATGGTAGCTGGAATACAGGTACATTTGGTGATGTCCCAGGAGAGGAGCAGACACAGTGGTTTAGGGATGTGGGGGGAGGGCCAGGGGCCGCCTGTGTCCTTGGGAGTAAAGACCTCATGGGGCAGGGAGCACTGGACAAAGCCCATGGGCAGGCAGGCCTTTGGCAGGAACAGGTGAAGGGAAGCGTGGACATCTTCTAGTTGAAGAACAGGACGGGCAGGCGCAGGCATGTTTGGGGGAACGAGGGGGAGTCCAGTCTGGCTGGAATGAGAGACGCTGGTGAGAGACCCTCTTGGCAGGAAGGCCAGGTTTAGCGTGTTTGGGTTCATCCAGCAGAAGTTACAGAGTGCCTCTGGAACAAACACACTGGACAGAAGTCCCCACCCCCATGGGGCATATGTTCCATGGGTGACAGAGACACAACAAAGACCTGAAGCGTCCCCTCTGCCGGGTGCTGACCCATGCACGATGGGGTTACCTGACTGCTCGCCGAGCTGCCTGGGAGTTAGCGTTCTGGGATCAAGGCGTGACCAGGGGCCCTGAGCCTTTCGTAGTGACGTAGTTGGGTGCAGGACCTAATGGGCCAGAGGAGTCTGCTGCTGGTGCTCAGTGGGGGTGGGGCCTGCCCGCAGCACTTGGACTTGGCAGGGGAGTCAAGGCTCTCGGGTTCCAGGTTCCGTAGGGACACCTCTTGGGCAATAGCGGATGTATTCTGTGTTGGAGTTGGACGCTGGCAGGTGAATAGGATGGAGAACATCAATGGTTCTCAGCAGAGCTCTGTAGTGAATTCACTTTCCCGCGTAGCATGGCTGGCGCAAAGTGCCATCCCTGTGGGAGTGGAGGAGCCAGCCACTCAGAATGGTGCTGTGTTTCGTGCAGGGCTGAGGGACTTCACTGGAGGTCCTGGGGAGCCACCTCGGCACCTCTTGAGGGGGATCGCTTGTCGGAGTCGCACAAGGAATGGGGCTGTGTCCCAGCCCATGGAACTAGAATGTTCCATTGGCATGGGGGCTCCCATTCAAGGATCCATCA